TGTCATGTGTGTTATTGTGTCCGCCCCGTCAGACCCGATATCTCACGAGTGTCCAGCGATGTTTTACGGGCCAGTTCATTGCTTCATTAACTCTAGATGCATGATAGATTTATTACCAAGCGATAAAAAAGACACGTACAGAGACGAGATTCAAATTTAACATAACTATGTATTTAATGTTATGCAATAAATTTCTCCTAATATAAACAAATACATTATACACATCGAATACAATAGAGCGATAAGGTTTAAACAAGCGAACGAGGTAGTAACAAAAGACAGGCCGCGAATCACGGGCCTTACAAAGACCGTGGAATTTGGATGCATCATTTCTAGGATACGAAATGAAATTAGGGTGTAGGTGAGCCGGCGAGGCAATTAGAACCGTTTGTGATTAATGAGAGATCGGCCCGCAACGGATTAGGGTTGTCGCTCACCGCCTCTCACTATTAAACGCTTCCGATGAACCTAACGCGGTGATTACTTTGATTGCGGTGAAAATCACTCGTAAGCTTATTTATATTAAAACCTCATAATATTCTATTAATTTTTATTTATAGTACACTGCTATTATTGCGATTACTTCGGACGGGATTTGTATAGAGTATTGTTGTATAACAATCAATAACAAAATTTGCATTTTAAAGATCACAATTTGCAATTAGCTTCCCCTCATAGTGTACAGCCCTAGAGGATTTAGTTTTGTCCTCTGGGCATAAAATGTATAAGGTTAGGCGTAAAATTAACATCCGTATGATGACGTGCTAAGAGCTAATATTGAGGCCGTTTATAATGTCACCGTCGACATTTTCTTACTTTTCGGCTCCAAAACGTTGCCACAGCTGAGTCCGAGCCGGCGTACTGATTAATGTTAGAAGTTTAAAACGCACGGTGATTTATTATTTAGAAAACACCTGCATGTAATCACCAGAATTCAGACCAGATAGCTTTTAAACATATTGAATTTCCTTTTCTATTCAATGATCAAAAGGGTATTATTTTTCTACCTTTTCTTTAGTTGTTAACATCGGGTTACATGCTAGGGATATTTGTTATAAAACAATAATAATAATTATAAAATAACGTCAAAAATTAAATTTAAAAAGAAACAATTCAATCACAATGGTAATATTAAAAGTGTTACAAAAAATCTATCTGTTACTAATTCAATAAACCGTACCGACTTCCATAGTATGATCGATTATATAAAAGGTGTTCGGGAGACGATTACGATTAGCAACGGCACATCTGAAGACGGGTTCAAATATATACAAATATAGGAGAGCGTTATTAAAAATTTCAAAGTCAAGTCGGCTCGGTGCGGTTGTATGGCCGGCGCGTGAATGACGAGCACAATGCGGCGTTATTACTGTAATTGAAGTAGGAAACCTTAACACGTTTCAGAGTCGCTGGGGTGTAGTCGCGAGGTGGCGCTCCTCATGTCTAACATACGCTCTGAACTATTATGTTTAATTATCTCGAGGAGCTTCTTAATTGGTGCTCGCTAGTCGCTAGTGTTCTTTACATAACACATTTCGTTCCTACAGCATACACGAGCATACGTAAAAAAATACAAAAAATCATATAATCTGGGGTTGATTGATGCAAGTCATCCTTCTTTATCTGTTTCGCTTGGAGTCGTAAGTATGAAAGGGATGAACGAAATTATCGATGACATCTAAATTTTTAAAGTAAAACATTTGTTATATATGAATGGCATGTTAGTAAGGAAGCAAGCAACAGATGCAGTCATTACCATCGAAGGTGAGTTACATTAAGCACTATCAATCAAACGACAAGTGATCGATAAAAACCAATACAGCCCTCACCCTATCCCGCTAACCTAATATGCGAATTGGCGGAGGGTCCCGAATATAACATCTGGATGAGGCATTCTGTACACGCCCTTAGCTTTTTTATTACAAAGTGACCTTTAATAGCTACGTCACTCGCATCTGATAATGAAGAATTATATATGTTAAACTAGCTGACCCGGCAGCCTTCGTACTGCCTCAATCAAGAAATAAATTATGTCTTATTTATTTTTTGGTGTTTACCTTTAAGCCATAAATCTCCGTGTTCTGAAGTGCGACAAAATGATTGACATATTAGTTAGTTGTCAAATCTAATGTCAAAAAACCTTTTGTATGGGAAATAAAAAACCGCTGTTTTTAGGGTTTTCCCGGAAATTAATAATTTTTTTTCAGCTTTTAAACCTTCCCGGAACCTCCATGAACATTTCAAGACTATGATGAGATAAATCCGTTCAGTCGTTCTCGAATTTTAGTGAGACCAAGGAACAGCAATTCATTTTTATATATATAGATATAAGAGTTGACATAGACGGAACAAAACATATAAAATAAATAATTTTATTTGTAGTTCTTCTAGTATTTAATGCACGTTGTGCACCGAGGGGCGGTGTGTGAACAGCCCGGGTGGAGACCCGAGGCTCCCGTCACGTAATAACAGCCACGGGCCATTGGACGATCGACTGAAATTTACCAAAAATATTTCGACCGCCGCTTTCTTGATGCTTTTTTTTATACAGTTTTCACAAAATGTGCAATACGGTGTCGACGATTGATTCCATTGGAATTTAATTTAAGAGAAACATTTGTTTATTAAATTTGTCATGACTTAAAATTATTCTTCTTCTTCTACCCGGCAATTTCCCAGCTATAGCCAGGGTCTGCTTTGCAGGGTCTTGTGAATAGTTTTGGCTAATTATTTTTACGACCGGCCGCCTGCCTGACATCAACCCTCTTTGGGAAAAAAGAATAAAAAAATATTATAATATTTAATATCACTATTAGTTGTAGTACTATTTAAACATGGGTTAATTAATGGTTACGTCTGATCTGTTTCAACGCCGGATGTACATCATTTTAGAGACGTGATATTCTTGAATTCTAATCCGGGAACATTTTGAGAACAAACTTCAAACGAATCGTGTCATTTAAGGAAGAAATAAATTGTGATACTTAATAGGACAGTTCTTCACTTATATTTGAAACTTTTCCATTATAAATTCACAAAAAATAAGAACTTTAATATGAAATTCCTTTTTCTTGTTACTTGAATTGTTAAAACATTACAAAATAACATACTAATAACAAATAAATAATATTGAAAAGAAATTAACATTAGTCAATTGTTTAGCAAAAAAATTCTTAGTTCTATTCGACTTAATTAAAAATGTATATTGATAATAAAAAGCGGATCAAAGAAGGTAATATCTTAATAAATAAAAAGTGTAATCTTATTAATCTTCTCCTCTTATCTAATTTGTCGTGTAGTTGAAAGGAATGAAATAGTAAATTGTCATCATTGGCTCCACATATACAGATATTCAGAATTCTTGGAGGACTAAGACCACAGTCTATACATTGATTGTAAGTTCATCGGTGTCGTATTAAAAGCTATATCATAGTTTATTGAAGCGTGTTTAAACCGTGACCTCGTAGTACAATCAGTATAGACAATCGTTCATTTGCTGCACCCTAATCCAGTTTATATTTGACAACAGCGTCATCTCAAACAGAATGGAGCCGCACAATGGAGTAAAGGGTTGTTTTAAATGAAACAGAGTCGCGTGGACGCACGTGTTCATATAACAGATTATGCTAATACCAGATACCCGCTGGATGTACTGCTCCTAGATAATGACTGCATCATATATATTATTATTACTCTATATACATATTGGATATATAGGCGACTTGATGGCTATGTGTTGACATATTGTTATATACTTCATAGATAGCATGATAAAATATTACATGCAACATGAACAGCCTATTATATATATAGCTATAAGTATTGGTCTATGCCCTTTTTATATTTGACTAGCTTTCCGCCCGCAGCTTCGCCCGCTTGGAGTTCGGTTATATCGCGTTTCCAAGAGAACCTTTCAAAAGTCTGGGATAAAAACTATTCTATGTTGTTTCTCCAGGTCCACTCCATCTCTGTACCAAATTTCATTAAAATCAGTTCAATGGTTTAGGAATGAAAGCGTAACAGACAGACAGACAGAGTTACTTTCGCATTTATAATATTAGTAGGGATTATATTCATTAATATCATAGTTACAACAATAGGTATATGGTACAGTAATACCTACAGCCGTGTGAACCGAGTAACATCAACAATAAGAAAACCGGCCCTAACTGCTATTTATTTAGGTAATACGCAAAATGCGTACGCACGTGCCACCCCCGACTTGGAGCCAACCCTTGTCATATATAATATTACAATCTCTCATCTGCGCCCGGCCAAGCTAAAATGAACCGTGCTTCCTCAGCTATACGAACTGTGGCGGGTCACAGACGGATAGTTGAAAATACACTCGACTCTTTTAGTTCAAAATTAAATAGCATTGTTCGCAGCCCTCATTAATGTAATATTGAGCCGCTGCGAGCGACGCTCCGCGGGGACGGATTTATTGTGTGCAAAAATTATTAAGTCGAATGTGACAAAGTTTTGATATTGTGTCGTGAGCGGAGATTTAAATAGTACAATGATGAAGATCTAGTGTGTGACGTATACTTCAATATTATACAACGTTCTGTACATCAATAATAATGATTATCATACGAAATGCTTTCAATGTGAGATCTGTACAAGTAATGAAAAATATAATTAAAATACAAGCGTTCATCTCGATCGTCCAGATGGTACGAGGCAAGTGCACACGGACAGACGGACATTTATTATTTAATCGCAATCTCGTGATTAGCATAACAATTGTTACACACTCACTCGCATGTTATCGTACACGTTCAGTGAGTGAATGATTTAATGAATGAATGAATGAATCGCTGTAACTCACTCTACCGTTCCTATTATCACCGGTCACGTGGATTATTATTAAAAACACGATCATTCACTAAATACTACTATAATAAATGTTGATATTATAACGGAACCCTAACACGAAAATCGATTAATAAATTCTAAGTCTATTATCGTCGTAATAAAAAATTAATTTATAAGTAAAAATGTCTCCAGTGTTTTGTAATGCAATGGAATGCGGTGTAACATCAAAAAGCAACAAGCGAGGTAAAGAGCGCGGCAATAATCACATAATCTATCGAAAACTTCCAACTCTGATACAAACAAACGAAAATGAAATAAAAGTCTCGCCGGCGACATTCCCACGGGGCGTCGCTACAGCTTTGATGTTCAGCAATTGTGACGAACTGACGGCCCACTAGCGTTTTATATACAAAAAATATATATCAATTGAAATCATTTGGACACGAAGCAATTAGACGTTAATAGAAGATAAAAATCTATTTGGAACTTACCCTAATAGCGTAATATTTTTGTATTATAATCTATTATTTTGTAACAATATGTTTTAAAATAGACACAAGTTAACAAATTTGTGAACTGGAAACGGTCATCTAAATTAAGTTTTGAATAATGTATGCATTACCTCCCACGTATTAGGCGACATGTGAGTAGACTTAGGAGCCCTATTACGAACACAATAAGGTTCAAAATTTTCTTAGGCATTAAAGTCCGAATCGTGCTAAGAGTAACCGCAGCTAGTCTGACTAATTGCAACTCCCTTACAGATAATCCGTTCGCAGCAGGAGGTAGGGTGGAGGGGCACGAATTAAAAACCCCCGACAAATGTCCGGCCGGAATGGATTACGGCTCCCACGGCCTACACTCCGAGAAACGGAGGGGGATTCAGAAAGTTTTGGACGAATACCCAAACCCGATGAAATAGTAATCCATCAAAAGATTTAGCCCGAAAAATCGAATTTCTTTTACGAGATTGCGAGGGTAGATTTGAATGTTGGAGCCGTCATAAGTTATTGTATCCGTGGCAAGTTCACGCGCGCTTTTAGCAGCAATCGTAATGTATTCGAAGCTCCACTGCTCCGCGAATACGAATACACTGTGACTATTAATATTCAGATGGCTTCGGGCGAGCGGTGCCGGAGATCTGAGCGGTGTTAGTAACATTTACCTCTCGTACACATTGCAGGAGTCGACTGCAACTGCCGACAACGATATAGCATTATCGTTGCAGTCTGCTCACTCTGATAATTACAGTATGCTTGTATTGAAACAAATTGATATCATGGCAATAGATTAATAGTTGTTTTTGTCGATCCGGTGTTTTGTTCACGGACCAGCTGTGGTAAAGGTCACGCCCACGATAGACCTGCACGCACCTGCGGCGAGACTTGGAACAAACACCTTTGTAATTACGATACTGCATTAATGTAACGATATACCAACGAACAGAAACATTTATAACCGGACTCATTCAATTTGTTATTATAAATAATATCTTTTTATATTAATTCGAAAGCTATGTCAGAAAAAAACCGACCGTCAGACATCGTTTCTACAACGAACATTTGTGGCTTTAGAAAAGATCCGAATACATCGAGGGAACACGTGCGAGGGGTGGGTTGGGGGAAGATTTATATAGAAAGGGTTCTTTTTAATTCATTCATAGGAAGAAAAAACTTCTCACAACAATTACCGGATTAGACTATTGGTCCGGGAGCATTTTTTTTTGTGTTAAATGTTTTTCTTATCCTTAACGAGGAAAGGAACTGCGACGGTCATTAAAGTTATTATATTTACGGTAAGTTTCTTAATTCTATACTAACTATTAGCGTACAGAAAAAGCTACATACAGATATTATTAGGGTGGAAACGAACAGAATACGTTTTTAATATATTATTATAGTATTACGAGTTCGAGGTTTCGCGTGTTTAAAATCATCAAGTAAGGCGTTCAATCGCTGCGGTGTACAAGTTATTATTTATTTAAATGCGATCAGTTCAATGTTTAGTACCGGATCGATGCAGTAAGTGTTGCCAATTCACGGGAGTCATTGTTCAGGAGCGGTCAGGTCTGGAGGCAGGTAGGTGCGGGTGTAGTGAAAACAAAACGACTGCGAACGTTCGCCAGCAGTAAGTAAGATAATTTCAGCACGTCCGCTGAGCCCGCGGCGCGCACGCACGCGAGCGTCGCACGTCAGTCGGGAGCCAGCCGTCCCTAGCGAACCATCAACACCGTCGATTGAATATAGAACTTATTGTAATGATATAGAGATGATTTCCATTCGCTCTGCAGAACAGCTTTAATGACGGCCAGGGCGGAATCTCTTTGAGTTTTTGTTGTTAATTCCTTTACCGCTACGTTATGGTAACTGCTTCCTAGCTTTTTATAGGTAATGTAGATTTTCTCGTGATTGTTTAAATGCACATCGTGCTACAATGTATTATGTATCATTTTATTTACCGGTGGGTATAACTAAAACCGCGAGTGGTTATGTACACAAACAGGCACATCTGTTACGTTTCTTTGGGCTGGGCTGTGTAATGAAACCGAGTTATTGTGAGGGAAACATCCACAAAGGATCACGCAGGAGACGGTGTTACATATAAAAAAAATACTTCGATATTATATTGGAGGTGAAAGGAACTGCAACTGTTATGACATACGAAATACGTTGGATGTTATATATAATAAAGGTCTACTATATAATAAGACCATCTCGCGTGTACACTGATCACAAACAAACATGACAAATAAATTGAAACGATGCTATTATGAGTCATAATAAAATAATTTTGATACAAGTTATTTAAAATGCGAGTGTCATTATAATGTATGACATATGTAAGTTCTTTTCATCATATTATAATATGTACCAGTCGTCTGTTGCGGCCGGCTATTGATATACCAACTGCTGCTTTGCAAAATTATTGTTACCTCGAAATTAGTCGGATAATGTTGGAATATACTTCCGAGAACATATTAATTGTGTTCCATGAAAATTTATAACCATTACAATATGTGAATTTAATAATGCATGCTTTATATATTAATAGACTTAGTGGTTGGGGCTGAACAAAAAAATTGATACCTAAGTGACCATTAGAACTAATCTCGTGGTAGGAAGTTTCAGGCAAGTTCAATTAGTGTGTATAGGTGTATATTATGGAAAATAATGCGGGTTGTGAGGGCAAATTGTAGTCCGCGGGCGAAGCGCATGCGCCGATGATTAAGTGTACTTAATACAGACTAAATGTTGCCCGGTGGGGGATATACGGGGCGCGATGAGTGACATCTAGACAGCTATCAGAATATAACGACTTCTATTACGTTAGATGAAAGTAAATATTACAGACAATTCGATTTTATTTGACAAAAAAGTAAAGTAAAAACTTACGTCGTTTTAAATTTAAACCGACAACCCTAATAGCGTTGACTAACCGCAGTTCTCGCGTGTCGCAAAAACCTCAGAGTTAGCGCAAAACGACGGCGGGATTTAGGTTCTACGAAACATTTTAACAAAATTACAAACATGTTGCTGACATTACGTGAGGTCGGGAGGGAACGAATTTTTAAATCAATTTAAAATTACTAATGACTTAAATAGAATGAAAGAGTTCATATATTTAATACATTGTGTTGTTTTAATGTTACTTATATGTGTACCACGATTCATTGTTTTTATATAAACATAACATTACATAACAACCGGCCGTCGGTCTGTGACTTGCATTCATAAATATAACAGGGATGGATCTTCAAACAGTTTTTTACTAACTCCATATTGGTAACATTCTCTTAATTTATTTTATGGATGTTTTAAAGATATGTTAATATTACAACATCCCAGACTTTATTTATGAATGAAAGGCTATTAATATATATAATAAATAACATTCGCTACTGTTTTATAATTATATAATTATTCATACATTAATCTTCTACGTCAATTCATCTCGTTTTTTCTTACGCTAGCTGTCCAAATAAAAATGGTGATAGCATTATTATCTTATAAACATATAGCTTAATTTAAAACATTAAAATCGTAAGCAAATGTAGGTAGTCCATATTAAAAAATATTACATGGAAAAACCGGAAACTCGTAAAAATTATAAATCAACAAGCATCAATAAAACGGACATTACCCTTCGCTTATAAATTATTTATATGATTATAAACAAACATTATATATACAAGTATATTTTATAATCCGAACCTATTAGCATACGTAGTAGAAGGTATTTTCATTATAATATAGTAATTGGTTGAAGTGAAGTCAGATTGTATTGACGCGGCCAGACGTCTCGAGTGTCTAAGGTTCTAGGTCCTTAAATATATACATGATTAAAGTTTCAGGTACCACGAGAGCTCACGAGGCTGGATAATAACGCTGGAATTACTTAATAACCAACATATCGATCAGACGACTAATGACGAGGATATATCAAAGAAAGTTACTATTCCACGAGCTGATTAAGGTATAACAAAAATTACATTTTTAATGAAAAATTTCGGCATCAGATTACATACAGCAGAATACAATCGCTGTATCGTTACTGAGAACAGTGGGTCTATAAAATGTTGGAAGTCGCTAATGTGGCTTTGTTGGTCACGTTCACTAGATGTATACGAGTACAGTGTACTAGAAACATGCGATACTGGAAACTAATATATCAGAGGTTTATTCATGAAACATGCCGAGAATACGTGATACAAACTACAATGAGAAGTTGGGAGGAGTCTCAGGAGAAATGCTGCAGACTACATCATGATAGTATAACTGGCCTGGGATGAAAGAACGAAGACAGTACAGACATATGGACTTCAAACAAAGGAATCTTATAGAATTGTTAGAAATTATATATGTATAGATAAGTTATATAATTAAAAAGAATGCAGTTGAATCATATACTAATGACTGATTGTGAGATGACCTTCATACTTTGACCGGTGTTTAAACAATTAAGTTGACCATTTCAATGAAGATAAACTCTTGAACATATAGCAAACTAGCTTTCCGCTCACAGCTTCACCCGCGCGGAGTTCCAAGAGCAACTTTCAAAATTCTGGGATAGAAACTATCCTATGTTCTTTCTCAAGGTCAACTCTATCTCTGAACCAAATTTCATTAAAATCAGTTCAGTGGTTTACTCATGAAAGCATAACAGACAGACAGAGTGACTTTCGCATTCATACAAGATATATTCCGTTCGATAGTTTATTATATGTGATCGTGGCTCATATAGATCGAGATCGTCATGCTATTGGCGAGGCGAGGGTCAATGTCGCGAACAAAGATCTCGAAAGTGGTCCAACGTAACGCACCGCACGTAATATATACGTAATACATGTAATATATACGTAATACATCCGACTGAACCGAGCTGAGCTGGTTTCCTTATACGGAATGTAGCTGATAGATACAACAGCTGATCGAACGAATACTATCATAATATAATGTACAACTTGTATTGCATTCATTTTGTTTTTAAAACGTCCTGACCAGTGTGAGTTATTGAGCAATGAAATGATTAATTTTAATTGAATGATTATGGTTTCTCAGCGGAATATATGGCGTGAAATTGTTTCGTACATACATAGTACATTAATTGATAGAGAAAGTGTTTCAGTACTGTAAAAACTAAATGAATGTTGTAATGGAACATTTTTATGATACAAATTCTGTGACAATAGATATCTTTAAGATATTTTAGTACATGTCATTAAACAAACAGATGAACATCCATTAGTCATGGCTGTTGTCGACTGATGGAATTCAATCAATCATATTTATCACGAGCACAGCATTTCTGGTAATTGACTGGAAGGTTCAACTCTTCCGATACATCGCGTAGTGTTCTAAATATTTTAAATATGACACACTTTCATAGGTATGTACGTTACTATGTAGGTACATACTAGAAGTA